AGAAGAATATAGTATGTTTTATTTATTTCTTGCTTTGGCTTAATAATATAGTGCAACTACCTTATTAGTAATCAAATTAATATAATAATTTTATAAAAAACTTTATTAGAAATATCTCTCTGCATCATGACTATCTATACTTATCACTTCAGATAATATATTACTCCAAATTGGGTAAGTGTATCATATAAGATCAGTAGATAAGATTTACTTTTTTGTACTAATGTAATTAAATTTATCTAATAATAAAACTAATTACCCAACATCAGGTGATTAGCAAATAATAAAAAAATGCATTGTTTTAGAAATAAAAAATATTGTATTAAAGTTCTTGTATTAAAATTTTTACTATATAATTTTTTTTTAGATTTTTTTTTAAATTTTATATATATTAAGATAACCTATTTGGTTATAAAGAACTTTTTATTAATAATTATTTGCTATTATAGTTATAATAAAGATACAACTAGCTATATACACCTTTTAAGTATTTATTTAAGTAGTTTACCTGCAAGTTTTATACTAAATATTATACCTATAACTTAACCAAAGAGTTATTTATTTAAACTTTTTGATTTTAACTATTTTTAAATATATTATACTAACTTAGAAACTACTATTTGATCTATTTCACTAGATTGTATATCTTTGTTTTAAAAGTTCTGTGATTTATTCTAAGTTTGTATTGACTAATTATCAGCTTGTATTCATTTATATATACAATATTAAGCAAAATTAAAAATTCTAAATAAAAATACTGTATTTAAAATCTTTAAAAATATTATGTGTAACAGAATTTAAATTTTTATATACTGTATATTAAATTTAAATTACTTCTAGTTAAAAATAGTTACAAAATATATATATATAATTAATTTATATAACCATTTTTTAAAATAAATGCAACATACTGTATAGTATACGTATAGATAGTAAAACATTATAGGTAAGTTTTACGTAGTAAAAATGTTTTATATAAAACGAAATTAAAATAAAAATTTTTACCAAATTCGATTAAACAGGTATTAAAAAAAACATTTCTAGAAGTAATATTTCTCGTGATTATTCTATGGTCCAAATCAGGTAAAACGCACGGATACACGCATTTTCACGTGATATAAATACAATAACGTTTATCGTGCGATTGTTGAATAAACTTCTGCATTAGTAATAGGCAGTGTAACGAATAACTATTTTAATATTTATAGATTGTGGTATACACAGTAAGAGGTACAATATTTATAAATAGACCTTCACAACACAAGTGTTACCCATAATTCACACAAGACTTATTTGTATTTTTATCTTTTGCGCTATTCTTAACCAAAATTTTTCACACTTTAGTTTGCTTCTCTTGGTCAAGTTTTATTATAGAAACTGGTGGTAAAAAAAGAACAACCAAGAATAAACTCTCACAAACGCGTCCATAAACAAAAATTATCTTGACTTAAAAATTAATCTTCGCTTCTACAATGTAAGTGTTTTAAATACGATTTAAAAAAATCAAACCCAATTTATTTGTGTCATTTTTAATTTAGCACTTTTTAGTCCATTTTCCTTTCGCTTTTTTCTTCACAATCTTCCCTAAATTTCAGTACCAAAATGAACAATCAAGTAAACTGGAATTTCAGCTTTCATTTTTTTAAAAAGCAAATTATTTATTTATTTATTTATTTATTTTTTCATGTTCTCCGCAGCTAAACGAAAAGGGATAAAATATGGGTCGCAAGAAGATTCAGATAAAACCTATTAAAGACGAGAGAAATCGTCAAGTAAGTTGTCTGACATTTAAAGAGAGTGTGAATTAAACAAATTATCCTTTATTGAATCTTTTCATGAATTCGCTAATTAATATTTATTGGTTTTCCCTGTCAGGTGACTTTTTTGAAACGCAAATATGGGCTTATGAAGAAAGCTTACGAACTCAGTGTATTATGCGATTGCGAAATCGCATTAATTATTTTTAATTCAAATAATAAGCTTGTTCAATATGCGAGCACGGATATTGACAAAATCTTATTGAAATACACTGAGGTAGTTATTAATTTTGAAGATTGCTATGTCTCATCGATTTTTACAGTATATTAAAACAGTATATTAAAAAAAATCTTTATATCATCATTACAGTATAGTGAACCCCATGAAAGTAAAGGTAACCATGATGTAAGTCATATTTTATTTAATTTTCTTCGGTTACCTATTAACCGGTCAGATAATTCTATAACAATGGTCCTATTATTTTATTTCTTTACAGTTTGCTAATGCTACTGATGATGATGATGATAACCCTCCACCAGGGTTTGATACCACTAGTGATCATAAGGTTCGAAATCTAGTCTTGATACAACAAATTGTTAATTATCGTATTCTGAGAATTATATATATTTACCAGCGATATGGTGTGCCATCCCCACAACAGGTGTATTCCTCAACACAAGTACCAGGACAGCCCGGTCCTTATTCCATTAATAATTATCCTATGTATGCACCATCTCAACATCAGCAATTTATGGTTCAACAGGTATAGAAAATTTCGGGGTTTTTTTTCTTTTACTCATCATAATTAAATAACATTTTCTGAATGGGCATAAATATAGACCCAACAATTTTATCCACAGGTTACTCAAGCAATGCATCAGTCTATGACACCTATGCCTTTACCAATTACGAATGTATCTATGCAGGTGCCAGCTTCTATTGCTCCCAATGTACCTGTTGATGTACCTACAACCATTTCATCTCCTCAGTTATCAAGCTCTAATACACAGAGCTTATCTATGTCTCAAACTTCACAAATTGAAACGCCTATCAATGGTGATATCATGTCACCTTCACTCATATCATCCTCTCCGAAGAAGCCTAAACTCCGTGTTCAAATTCCGGAGGCAAAGGAAAAACAATCAGCCCCTAACGCAGTACAACAATCGCAGACGATTAAAACGGATCCATCGCCAGAACAGGAAACCCTTTCCGACTCGCAACAAGCAACGGTATCACAACCGGTGAGTTGATGTTTATTATTATATTCAATGTTGCTTCAGTTATCATATATACATATTAATTCTTAATATTAATAATATTTCGTAATCTAACAAGCTTCAGTCGTCACGCCCTACTCCAGCTACCACCGATGCAGGACCAACATCGGCTTTGCCTTCTCAATTTGCACAGAATTTACCATCACCCTCCACTTTCTTTTCAGAATTTTATAAAACAGCTGAATTACCTAGTCCTCTCACATTTGGCAATACACCCACTAGTGCTAATCCTGGAGCTTTTCCTTGGCCAGCTCCTCGTATGAACTACATGCACCAACCTTCACCATTGGCAAAGCATGAGTCTAGTTCCAATCCATTGAAGAACCGTCCTGCGCCAGCCGATGACGATGATGATGATGATAGCGAGCCGGAGAAGAAAAAGACAAAACAATAAAGAATTTATAATATATTTTGACTTTGGTGTTTCTGGACATTTTAATAAAATGCCTTTATTTTGACCCTTTTCGATATTTTAGAACAAAAGATTAGATATCTTGACCTTTTTTTTTTCTCTTCTTTTAATATATTAAATGATTATATAAAAAATTTTTTTATTGACATTGAAAATTGTGTTACCTGATCCATTTAATGTTTTAATTTAGAATAGTAATATTAACGGATCAGATGTTATTTTGTGTGGGTTTAATTTTTTTTTTTTTTCTTATCGGACTTTTTCAAAAAAAAAGACAATATTCTTCATCCTGTCTTTATGTTATATATCTTTTCATTATTGTCAATATTCACCTGTATTATATAATGAATCTCTACCCTTTTTTTTATAACACATTTCGATTTTACCCATTTATATGATTTTTTAAAGATTTTATTACGACAGGAATGAAGATTAGCAAATTCGAATCAATTAATAATGTTAAATCATGGTTTTACTTTTTTTTTTTTTTCCATAATTCATTAATACAATTAAGAGATACTTTTTTCTCGACGGACATTTATCTAATTTTCTTGGTAATTTTTGTTATTTGTTCGTTTAAAATATTAATTACAACTTTTTATTAAATCTGAGCATGGATAATTGAATCTGTTTAAATTCTGACTTCAAATCTTGTAAAAACTATTCCGGCAGGCTTCAATCCACGAAAAAAAAAAAGAGAACTATAATATGCGCAGGCTTTGCAACAAACTCAATGTTTTTTAGCAAAAGCCGGTGCTTTCACCAAAAGATTTAATATTATTTCACACTTACCAAGTTTTTGATCTTATTCGGCCCTAAATTATTCTCTTGTGGGATTGTGTTTTAAACTCTTAACAATTTTATTGGATATATAGTATATATTATTTAATATTCATGATTTTTCTTGAAGCATAACGCCGAAGTCCTAAACGTTGATAAAGATGTACTATTACGCCTTTGACAAGCGAGATGGTTAGGACGTTATGGTGCCGCAATGCGTATATCATTTTGTTTTAGTAAGTATTTTATAGAATTCGAACTTAAAATGAGGCTTCCTATATCGTACGATTTTTAAGGATAAGAATGTTATAAAACAGAGGGCTATAGAGATACGGTGTGTACAAGCTAAAGAAGTACAAAAAACTCTTATTTTCCATTATTTCTTTGTTTCCTGATTTGAGGCTTCTCATATTTGATAGAAAATTTAGACGAGCACAATAATTGTTTTTTTTTTTCCTTCTACAAGATATAAAGTGTTAGATTTGAGCCATATTATAACGACGCCTGCGTGTTAGTACGAACACGTCCATTTGCGTTATTTCTAGCGTTATTTCGAGATAAGGGCCAATGTTTTGATCCTGATCATTATTCTCATAAAATCTGTCAATAGGTGTGTGTTATTTCAAGACACATCTTGACTATTTTTAAAAGGTCCGATTTTCGAAATGATAATGCAAATAATTGTTATTTCGCGGTTTTAGGGTAAGAATAGTTTTTGGTTGTGAATCTAATTTGTAAATATATACAGTATATACAAATATATATAAAGAATAATGTTGTCTTTTGTATAAAATAGATAAATATTTAACTTCGGCTTTCTGAGTAAAAGTTTTATGTATAATCTCTTTTAATTCTAATTATGATTTTAAAGTCATGTACTTTTTTAATGAATAATAAGTTATCGTCCAACAATTGTTACGTGGGGTATTCAAAATGTTTTGAGAATATTTAATTATTTTAATGAGTTTTAAATATATAGATCTAAAAAAAACATTATATGTATATATTATAGTATTAGTTTTTCTAAATAAATAAAAAAATATTGATTAGAATTAATAAGATAGTTGTTGAGAAAAATAAGCTTTTTAAATTTTATTAATGAATTATTTTTATTAGGCCATACAAACTTAATAAATTGGTTCTCATAACCCGGCCGGGTCAAATTTTGCAAAACTTTGAAAAAAAAT